CTGGAAAGTCAGCGCTCTCTTTGCTGAATCCCTCTTCCCATTTTGCATCCTCTTACTCTCAGACCTGGCAGTTTGGTTCACCTGCCTTAGAAGCCAACCTAGCCGCTCTGTACCCTGCCACCCTTCTTACCTGTCTCCCTCCCCTATGACTCCCACTAAAACCTACTGTAGATTTTGGTCTACTCCAAATAAACATTCATGTTCCTATGTAGCAGCACAGAGAATAGATGAGAGAAACAGGATCTGCAATGTATGCTGTCTTTATTTGTAACATCAGAATAAAAGAAACTTCCCGGAGAAAGTGGATTAGGTGGAAATTTGTTTCTATTGCACAGTTATTTTCAAGAGACATTAAACCCTAGAGACATTTTCCAAATTAATTTAAATAAATGTATTATATCATATTCTTTAAAATATGGGTGTTGTATTATCTTTGGAGATTATAATTTGGTTACAAAGAGAGTATTTAGGCTGCCTATTCTTTCTTTTGCCTTCTTTTTCATCCTAAGTGTAAGTACAAAGAGAAATATGTGTGGCAGAAGAGAAAACAGTTGGGTGGTTAATGGCTGTCAGTGTTAAAGCCAAGTATTTACAAGTGAAAGGAATGAGGCCCATATCATGGGTAATCGGATTCAAATGGATTTAGGAACTAAGGCTGAAACAGGAGCCTAATTAGAGAAGATTTCAAGGTCATGGTGTCAGTCCTCACCTGTCTGCCAGGCAGACAGACTGTCCACAGCATTTACTTCAAAGACATGGTCAGTGGCTCTTGCTTCCTGCTTCTTAAGGAAGAAGATGCCATGGCTGCCCCTTGCAGCTTTATGTGTCTACATCTGCATTTGGCCTCCAGAAATGGAGAATTTAGAATAAAATATTTATGATTTTCTTAAAGAAAGGTGGGAAAACAAATCATATTGGATAAGCCACTTTTGCTGAGGTAAATTTAGTTTTGTCTTTTTAAATATGGGAAGAAAGGATATGGATGAGGAATAAAATGACTCTGCTTCCATGGACAGGACAGCTACATGCGAAGGGGTCTTTCTGCCCTCTGAGATCTAAGATGTTGAACACTCACTAAGGTGGATGTCTGCCCTTTGTGTTCTTTCTGAGTTTGCTTTGGCATTTGGTGTATGACTACTTTCTGTATTTAACCCACCTTGATTTCCTTTGCAGTTTGGTTGTCGTGGAAGCTCAGTACCTAGAGTTGGTGGCACCAAAAGATGAAGGAGGGAAGACGAGGCTGGGTGGGGATCTATCACAGCTAATCTTCCAGACAGGGTCCATGACACCATCCATGAGATGGTGCTTCTGTGGAATGGTGAGTCGGGACTCAGAGAACGTGGAGAGAGCTGTATCTTGCTCCATTCTCTTCTGCTGCTTTTCTTAGCTCCTGACCATCGGTGTAGACACTGGGTAAGGGCTGTGGCTGGACACAGAGAATCCAGAGGTGGTGGGGAAGAGCATGGAGCAAAGATGGTGCTTGGAGTATAGAGTCCAATGCTACATGAAACTTCCACATCATGGAAGCAGAATTTTGTGTTCTTTCCTTGTAAGTCCAACCCCGTGGTATTTTCCATCATTGAGGGCATCATTTGACTTTAGGATTCAGTGCACAAAGGTGATTCTATTGCCTTGAACTTTAAGGAAAAAGAAATGATTAGGAAAACAGATTCCTCTTTCAATTCCTAATTAACTTTCACACTAATTTGTTTTCTGCTAATGATCAATCTACATTTAGATTCAGGCTTTGGCCAAATGTTAGCTCAAGGTTTTTATAAATCTAATGCAGATTTTAAAATTACAATCACAGGATTTTTTTCATTTGTTATAATTGACTAGACTTCTCAACATTCTTTTTATAAAAATGCAGTCTACACTATTAGTAAGTAAACGTGAAAATACTTGCATGATTTTTCAGTGATCTCAAAGCATTCTACAGCAGATTTAATTTAATTCTGCAGATAGAAATTATTGCCCTTTTCCAGAATTAAAAAATAAGAACAACAAAAGAAGTCCTGAATTAAGATCTAAGCATATGCATTTTGGATTCCTCACCCTTACCTTATGCATTGGTTTACCCATTTCAATAAACATTATCTCTCGTGGAGCAAAAGTGTTACGGCTGTTTGCTCAGTCTTACCTTTCTTACCAGTTGACTCAGGGGCCATAGAGGAAATCATTTGAGGTCACCTGTGGTTAAAAGGTAACACAACTATAGCTAAAATCAAATTTTAATCTGAAGTCTCTCTGGTAACTGTGCACGTCAAGGAAGAAGTTTGTGGTAGAAAAAGAGAAGATGAGTACTACAGAATGGAAAGAAAGAGGAAGACAAAAATGAGAGGTGAAAGGAAGGGAGAACAGAAATTTGAGGCCTCTCTGGAGAGTATTCTGAACCTCTTCTCCAGCCAGCCCCTTCCCAGGCAGTCACAAAACCCAGGTTGCTTCTGTGAGGTCAGGGGCTCAGATCTTTTCAAATTCTCAAGTAGAAGAATTAAGTCTTTTGTCATGTGGACTCTTACATGGGTTCCCAAGATTTTAAAAACAAATAAAGGTAATTTTATTAATATAAATTTACCTTAATAAATTAACTTTATAATATTTCTTTAGAATGAAATTAACTGGCGAGAGCTGTATTATTAAATAAACACAAAATGTGGAACTGGAAGCTACAGATGGACTCTTCTTTCTTTAGCCGCCACTTCTAATTTCTGTTTTGGTTTAAATGCACACTATTAAAGCAGCCTTGTTTTACAGTAATGATAAATAGTATCTAATTTCTAAAATTTCTAAAGATGTGCAAACAGAATTTTAAACGGCTCATTACCTGGAAGGAGGAGAAATTGCTGAAGTGATCACCAACAATATATTTCACACTTAGATGCCACTGGTACGTGAGACAGAGAGACAAAGCCCTTTAGAGCTGATGGGGTTAAGCGGGCCGGTCAGGCTCTGAGGTGAGAGTTCCTCATGCACATGTGGTCACGTGACACAGTGTAATACCAGTCCTGCTCTGTTAAACCCCAACTCTGACTCTGGCATTTCTCTGGACCTTGCACGCTGGACTGTGGTAGTTTGCTGTCTTTATGTGTGTGAATACCTAAATTTTAAAGAACCAACAGAGAGCTGTGGCCTTACAAATGAATGCCATCTAGAAGTTCAAGCACATGTGCAGTGACAGAAGGCCCAGAACCTTGAGGTGGGCACGTAAAGACTTTGCAGGATAAGGCAGCATATTATAGGGCCTGCGTGTTCATGTGTTCTAAGCAGGTTCTGCTTTAAATTATAATCAAATGTATAATTGTCTGAATCAAGTATTACAGGGTCACCAAGTATTTCCTTAGAACTCTCATTATTCTGAGCACAATTCCAAACTTTCCAGGCCTGGTGTCCTTTGCCAAATTACTGGGGTGCTGATTAATTTTTCAGGTGATAGCAAGTGAACCTGTATTTCCTGCAATTTACAGTCATTTTTTTCTATTGCGGTATCCTCAACCTGATGGCTTCCTGTAGCACATTTATACTTTTCACTAGACTATTCCTACCTAATTCTCAGGATAAAGCAGTAGCATTTCAACTTGGTTTTCAGGGTCTCTTTGTGCCTTTCCTATTGTCTCAAACATCACACCCAAACAGAATTTCCGATTTTCATTTATTTCCCGTTATTGTTATCCTTTTTACCAGTTGCTTTTTCTTCATCTGAAATTCCTTTCCCTTGTATCTGTTTATGTCCAAGTTCAAGATTTTAGAAGTGAACATCATTTTAATCTCAAGATAGATATAGACATAGATATAGATATAGGTATAGATATATATACTGATGTGTTCACTGTACATATGATTGTGGGTAAAACATATTAGGAAATGTTTAATGACATAGAAATATTTTTTCTATTTAATGGAGCAGAAAAGCAATTTGGAAATTATGATTATTCTTTTTTTAAGAGAAAAATATATAGGAAAAAAACCCCGAAAATTTCAACAGCCACCAAAATGTTACTGGTTGGTAGAACTAGAGATAAGATTCATTTAACTTACAGGTATTTTATATGTTGGGGAAGTAAACCTATTTTGCCTTTGTAATAAGACATTAATTATAAAATAGGTCTAAAGTACAGGGTATCTTACCTCTCCTTATTTAAATAAATTAACTATCTGACCCTGTCTGAACTCTTTCAAGTTGTTCTTTCAATTATAGTACTCAAATACCCAAGTACTTTAAAGGGTGTCTAACCACGGCAAGAGGCGCTGGTGCGGAAGGCCTTGCTAGCGTTTAGCACGGTGTGTTTTTGGTGCCCGTTTTTAGCAGCCAGCTGCACTCTGCTCTGGGAGCCAGTCCTCGATGTCTGTCCACAAATGTCCAGTGACGCCCCCGTTTCTCCACACATTGGTTCACACCTGAGCTAGTCTCTAATGAAAGGGGATTGAGATTTAGTATTTCCCGGACACCTGGGTGACATTTTTCAAATATTCCCATCAGCAAAAAAGGGTATGAAAAGTCTTCTGTGTCATAGTTATGAATAGTGTGTTCACATAGAGAGGTGACTATTTTTTTCTGGTGACCGTATTACATAAAGGGAATTATCTAGGTCTACTTTGTCACTCAGGAGTCCCGATTCGTTGCTTTGTGGTTTGTTTGTTTGTTTGTTTTTGCATAGTCCCCTCCCAAAGAAAAGAAAAGAAAAGAAAAGAATTGGTACTCAGTGATAATATTTTAAAAAGTGGATTTAGGCAATTTTCCTTGAAACTTTTTTCCTTAATTCAGCATGACATAGAATTAAACAGTAGAATGGGAGGAATTTATTTGGAGATATCAAAATAAGAGGGGGAATTGTTTGGTTATACAACAGACTGTAAGAGGGCCGAGAAGTGGATTGAAGAAAATTATCAAGCATGCATGTTGTTTTTAAGTGATACTTGAGCCTAGGATGTGCAACAGCTGTGTTTTTGACTTTTTTTCCTCGTGCCAACTTTCTTTCCTTGATTGATTTTCTCCCTGACAGCTCACTGTGCTGATAAATGTGTCCACGGCCGCTGCATCGCTCCAAACACCTGTCAGTGTGAGCCTGGCTGGGGTGGGACCAACTGCTCCAGTGGTAAGTGTCCACCTGCTGCTGTCTGTCTCGGATGTTTGTGCTGCATAGACCTTGTCTGCCCATTATCCTGAGCCAGTTCGCCTCTTCATCCCAAGTCAAGCATGGCCGGACTCCACATCCTACCCATCCATGGAGTTCCTTTTAAACCTGTAGATGTATTACATACAGAACTGCCACTAATTGAGAGTAAAGAAAAAAAAAATACTTGGCAAGATGGAGATTTCATTAATTTGCTACTCATACTTCTGTAAATGGGAATGCATTTTCTAGAGTAGGGTCCAGAATCTAGATCCCTTACTTATAGAAGTCAGTTGTGGTTATATTCTAACTTCAGTTTTTAACTTGATTCATCTAAGATATTTTGTGGGTGGTGAAAATTTGCCACTTGTTGATTTTAACTCAGAAGCAAAATAGATATTTTTTGCCATTAACATATCATTTGTGTTATATAATTTGTTTCTTTATCCTGAGAAGGAAAGAGTGTGTATGTGCTCAGATAACATTGGGGAGATGCACTTGTAATAAATGAAAATTCACAAACATTTTGATGCTTGTTAAATGAAACCATAATGTAGCATATAATTTGTCTTCATTATTCTAGAGTTAGAATTGTAAGATGATGATAATTTGACCATAACCAGACTGTACATAATTTGTTTCTTTATCCTGAGAAGGAAAGAGTGTGTATGTGCTCAGATAACATTGGGGAGATGCACTTGTAATAAATGAAAATTCACAAACATTTTGATGCTTGTTAAATGAAACCATAATGTAGCATATAATTTGTCTTCATTATTCTAGAGTTAGAATTGTAAGATGATGATAATTTGACCATAACCAGACTGTACCTTTAATCCTCTATCCATTATCATAAAGATTAAACATTGGAATGCCATGAAGTACAGTTGCTTTCCTAAATTTCACTGTTAAACTGTGAGTCCTCTTGTTAACTAACTGCTGTGGGCATGGCTGTGCCCACTTCTTCCTTCTTTTGTCACCTTGAAAAATGTGAGAGAAAATTGAAATGCAGCAAAATGTAACACGCAAAATGTTATTTTATAATAGTTTTTAAAAATTAGCAGGTTCCCATGACAGTACAAATTTGGCTTCATTTCTACCAAATAATTTTCTGAGACTAGTCTAAAAGTATGCTAAGCTGTCAAGATAAACTGGTTTTAAGAATTTTATTTGCCTACTTTAGACCTGGGAAGATTACTTTTGACCTTGTAAGGACTCCTTACTTTGAACTTGTGATCTCTTGACTTGCTGCCTTGGTGTCACCGGAAGAAACCCTTGTGTCTTCTGCACAGAGCACCACATCTGAAAGGCCTCTTTATTGTGTATGTGTGTGTGTGTGTGTGTGTGTGTGTGTGTGTGTGTGTGTCTGCTCCTGAAAAGCTTCTAAACTAAATTCCAGTGGATAACTGTCCTGCAGGGTTTGTTTTGCTCCTGTTGGAAAGCAGGCAGAGATCGGGTATTCTGTTCCCATGCCACTGATGCAGAATAGCTGGGATGTGGGATTTGGCTTGGGTCCATCTTTTAGCCAACTGCTTTCATTAACTTTTCCTGCTTAGAAATCAGTTTTACCTAGACATTTTGAAGAAAAATAACATTATAAAGTAGTGGGAAAAGGAAAAGTAGATATATTCTTCATTTGATAATAGTTTGTTACTAATTTGGGGCAAGGACACTGGAATTTCAGTTTTATTCATACATTGTTTCCTAAAAACTACAGCCTACTTTAAGCTAAAAGGTCAGACCAGAGAGTGTGTGCACAACAAAAGCCTACATGGGTTTTAGTCTCTCTAGAACTGATTTGGACCTTCTAGAAAATAAACTCTTGCTTTATTTTAGAGTTTATAGACTTTTGAACATAGACTGTATACATTGTTTTAATGCTGGAAAATCATACTTAGGCCACTGCAAGGATATTCTCTATAATTTAGTTTTATAATGGACAGAGCATAAATAAGCATGAACTGATGTCTTAATTCTTTACAGAAGTTCAGAGAAAACTATTTCTGATACCTTTTCAAGCACAAAAGAAAGTGCTATTCTGAGCTCAACTACATGCTGGGTTTTGCTTCCTGGGTTTTGTCTGTAACAGTTACCCTAACTGTAGAAAATTCATGAGTTTGTGTATACTTAGCTAGATAATTCTGCAAACAAAATGTGTGCCATTACAGTATTCTAGTATGTAGCAGTGTTAATACAGCTTACTTTATAAAGATTCTATTTCCCCTATTCTCTGGCTGTTCTATACATGAATTTGGTGATGTATGTTAGACCTATAAAATGATTGTTTTGATAATTGCTCTGGCTTTTTATGTCATTGAAGGCACAACCGGGAGATGAAAACTATAGTAATTTTTTAAGCATAGTTTTTTTTGGTACCAGGGATCAAACTCAGAACCTAGCACATGCGAGGTAGGCAGCAGAATCACTGAGCTAAATCCCCAGTCCCTAAGCATCATTTTTATTTTGGAACAATTTGAGATTTACAGAAAGTTGCAAAGACAGTACAAAGTTTTCATACATCCAAACCTAGTTTCCTGTTGGTTAATTTACCACTAGTTTATCAAAATTAAGAAACTGAGATTTGCACATTAATATTAAAACTTCCAGATATTACATTTTGTCAGTTTTTCCACTAATGCCCTTCTTATGTTCCAGGGTTTAATCCAGGGCACCACCCTGCATTCCCTTGTCATGTCTGCCCAGTCTCCTCTTCCTGTGGCAATTTCTGTCTTTCCTTGTTTTGTTTTTTTAAAATTTATTTTTATTTTTACTTTGTTGGTGCTGGGAATTGAACTCGGGTCCTCGTGTTTGCGAGGCAGGCAGTGGAACCACTGAGCTAAATGCCCAGTACCTCTTGTTGTTTTCCAGAAGAACATGAGCCAGGTATCCTGCAGAATGCCCCAGGATGTGTGTCTGGGTGTTTGTTGTGACAGGATGACTGCCCAGTTAAGTGCTCTGCTCATTGCATCATTGTATCAAGATCTCCACATGAGTCCTCACTTGCTTAAAGTAGTATTTGCCAGGTTTCTCAATGTGATGTTTCTGTTTTTTCTTTCCGTACATTATTTGCAGAAGTGAGTCCCTAAATCTAGCCTACCCTCAGGGGCAAAGGCAGCCATTAAGATCTGTATCTTGGAGGAAGGAGTATCTACCTGCATTATTTGGAATCATTCTATAAAAACATTTGTTTCTTCTTCCTCGTTTATTCAGTACTTTATATCATTTTAGTTCATAAGCACTTCCTTGCTATTCTGAGTTATATGACAATATTACATTGTTATTTTGCTGCTCAAATTATCTTAGCTTTGGTCCTTCTGTCCTTTTGCAGTGTTCCATCCTTTTGATTTTGAGACTTCTTTATTTTCTGGTGCTATCACATACCGTCTTCGATTTTCCTTGCTTTAGCCCTTGAATGGCCCTTTTCTCCAGGTTCCTTTTTTGGAGAATGATATTTAGAAACCAAGATCTGGGTGCTAGGTGCATTGCTGCTACTGAAATACATAGTAAGTTGCAAGGAAAAAGTTTAATGGAAATAATTACATGATCCCTAGTACAAAAAAAAAAGTAATTGCAGTATTAAATGTAACGGGAGAGTGGAGTGATGAAGGACAGGCCATTAAGAGGTAGATTGTACAGGACTTGTGAGAAAGCTGTTCATGGAGACGTGTCTCACCCGAGGTATTCTGCTAGCAAGGGAAGCTGTTGGCTGGTGGTCACAGCTGGCCACTGGGTACTACCGGATGTGGACGCTACCAGGGCTGGCCATGCTACCCAGCTTGGTGTCAGAGAACCCCTAGCGATGCAGAAAGAGGGCTTTGGAAAAGCTGCAGGTGTTACAGGAGCAGGTGCTAGAGAAGTCGTGACCTTCTACCCGCACTGCAGGAGCCACTGCATTGGTCTGCTGGGCTAGTGCATTGGAGCCAAGCTGGAAGACATTTCCTTCTGCTGTGTCTTTACAGTAGTCTCTGTGCAGCATGCTCCACATTCAACCAGCTGGCAAAGAAAATATTAAAGGGCCCATATCCATTTTTGTAGAGGCAGGGAGGATGCATTTAGAAGCAGGAGGCGGTACATTGGTAATGTTGCCATCCACCCCTCTGGTTACTGTGCTGCCACACGCCTTCTTCCACACATATCTGAGTTCCGGTATATTGACAAAGCCGCTCTGTATTTCCACCCGGTGTGTATGACCGTCCATTTCACAGGTGGCGGAGCTTTCACTCTTATCCCGAAATAAAGGTACAACTGTGATAACCGCTACTAGTTGTACGACTTTTTTCAAATTTAATCACAGCTCTATTGCGTGTTCTATTTCCTAGATACTAAAGTTAAAATGCAACCTTTATATAAAATAAATTAAAAGTGGAAAGAAACAGGAAAAGAGAAAATAGCAAACAAATATAAACACATGTATATGAGAGGCAAATAGAAAAATATTAAAAGCTACTAAATACCTCTCCTCTGCAAGTGGTCACAAAGCTCTCAGAATTTCTCTGGCTTCTTTCTCTCTCTCCCTGGTCTGTATTTCCAAAGTCCTGAGTCAGAAATTCAGTTACTTGTGGTTCTTCTCCGGGCTCAAAGCTTCATTCCCAAAAGGTCTGAGTCCCCATGTGCCCTGCGTTTTTTTTTATTGTTGATATTTTCAACAATAACCTTTCCTACTGGGCATGGAAACAGCAGGGATTACTCTACAGGACCCCTGGGTTCCAAATATAGTTTCCCTTTCCTATCTGTGTAGAAGTAAACCATTTTCCCCATTGATAATCAGAATCATTCCCTCCAGCCTGAAGAGCAATCCTTTTATTGAAAGTAAGACTCTAAAATGGCCAGATGGCAATAAATTAATAGCTATTATACACAGTTAACTGCTTTTATTCCTAAAATATATGGGGGATTAAAAGACTGACACTGTCTAACATGTGGGTTTGTGAAGGTCCCCCTTTGGGAGCCGACATGACTTTTCACTGCGACAGTGGAAAGGC